TCTTTCTCTCTCTCTCTCTTTCTTTCTTTCTTTCTTTCTTTCTTTCTTTCTTTCTTTCTTTCTTTCTTTCTTTCGTCTTTTTGAGATGGAAAATACTGAGTATGTCCATATGCTGAGGGAAATAATTTAATAGTAAAGAAGAGACTTATTTCTCAAGTGAAGCAGGAATACCAGAAAATCTTTGAGAATAATCTGAGATTTAAGGCTCCAGCCCTGTTGGGTTGCACCTAGGGAGAGTAATATAATACTTCTGGTGTGCCTGGCTCCTTCCCTCCCAATGATACATCCTACTTCTCTTCCATCTCACTTCAAAGCTGAATGTGTCATGTCCTTGTTTCTCAAGGACCTCTGGGAACTTTCCTGCCCTGCCCCTCTGGCTTCTTTGCCAGTGGAAGTCCATTTCCTTCTTTCAGGGAAGATCAGGCCCCTTAGTGGAAAAGGAGTGTTGCAATAATAAAGGAGGAGAGGATAATAAAGGCTTGCAGTGACTTCTCAGAAAGCCCTCTTACCAGGGGTGACCTTCCAAAGGGCAGAAACTTAGTGCCTGTCACACTGGGCTGAGCCATATGAAACGACCAGTATTCAACCATTTAGGGTGAACAGAACAACCTTTTTGGAGGCTAAGCCTGACAACAGAAGGGAAGGATGTGAAGATGGCTAGAGATACGAATAGGTTATAGCTTTGTGATGTGCTGATGAGAGAGTTCACATCTAATGGCTTTCATTTCCTCAAAATATATGAGATGATATTATCGACAGAGAAAGCAGATAGAAAAAGGGATCAGAGACTCGAGGTGAAAGAACATTGCTCAGGTTTGAAGTAGGAGTGATGCCATCTCCCATCCCCATGGGCTGCTGTGAGGGCACAGGGCTGACTAGAAGGCTGGCGGCAAAATGCAGGGAACAGATGCACCAGGACCCATTTCCACCACGCTCTGCCCAGGTGACGGGAAGGAGAGGCTTACCCTGCCCACCTCCACAAGGTTTGTGACCATGACGATGCTGGCAGAGTTCTCCTGCCAGATCATTCTCCAAAAGTCCTTCACAGTCTCTTGCATTGGACCTACGAACAGAGAAGGTGACAGAGTTAGAGACTGCAGAGGCAAGGTAGCTGCTGAAAGTGTTGTCTCTCTTGGCTGTTTATTTAATCAAGGCTGCACACAGATGAGCAAGAGTGAGGCCAGGGGTTCCTCCGCAGAACACCGAGTCATTGAGACTGAGGCTGGAGGCATATGAGTCTGATGGGGCCAGATCAGAGAACAGAAAAGAGAAGCCTCGTTTCAGATGTTCTTGGTCTGCAGGGTCTCCCCCTACTCTCACGCCCACCTTCATGCTCAGCCAAGCAGCTTCATCTCCACCCTGACCCACCACCTTATCTGGGCTGTGCCCAAGGGAGTTTGAAAAAAAATTGATCCACAGGATCTCAATGAGAGCTAGCAAGGAAACAGGGGCGGGGAGGGGAGAGCTAATGAAAGCAAGAGAATCTGCAGTTTTGGGGTGGGCAAATGCTGGAGGCATTCATCTGATGCTTGAATAGCAAATGAAGGATTAAAAAATAGAAAAGAAAAAGAGTGGAAGATAGGATCAGGCAGTCCAAGGCAGTTTCCTTAGAAATGACTCTTAATATATGGGTCTTCATCACTCTTAAAACTACAAAAGGAATTCGTGCATTTGATGGAAAATTTGAACAGCATTCTTGGTGTTTATGTGTGTACATGTGTATTTATTGCATAAGCATCAGGTCTATTCTAAGTATTTCTTTTTAATTCTCAAAAATTCTTACCACATGCGGAATTTTTAATAGCCGCAGAGTTTTCTACATGGAGATGCCACACTTAATTTAACCAACCTGTGTATTATTGGGCATTTAAGATGTTTCCCTTTTTCCTATTATAGGTAAGATAACATAGTAAAGAATGTTTTTTATATGTCATGGTCTACATATATAATTATCTACACGATTTATTCCCAGAAGAATTTGAAAGGCATCATAATTTTTAAACTTTATGATAAGCTCCGGCTGTACTGCTTGATGGGACAATGGGCTGCATTCCTCCTGTGGACATCTACTCCCTGGCAGGATAGGCACTTCAGCTCTACCCGTGTTGGACAGCACCTGTTGGGGCTGATTCTTCTGCTCTTCCCTGCATGGTTCCTTCTTCTTAATGATATTTCCTAGTGACAGTTCTTTTCTCTTGTCATTTTAAGCTGAACTTGTCATCTCCTTGTTTCTCAAGGACCTCTGGGGACTTTCCTGCCCTGATTCTCTGGCTTCTTTGTCAGTAGAAATTGGCTCCCTTCCTTCAGGGAAAACTAGGCCCTTTAGTAGAGAAAGAGTATTGGGGTAACCAATGTGGGGAGGGTAATAAGGCTTGCAGTGATTTCTCAAGAAATTCCTCTTCTCTGATATTCTTGAGGTCTCTCCAAGGCACTTACCTTGAGTTGCAATGTAGTGCCGGGGTCGATGGTACCCCTGGATAATAGGAGGAAAACAACACAATATTAATACACATCATTCCCAGCTACCTGATGTCCTCATAGGCAAAATGGGAATACCAAGGACTACATAAGATGATGCATCAAGATCACTTAGGCATGTAATGTTGGCTACTTGTGAGGTGTCTATACAGGCTTGCTATGAACTTGGTGTCACTGGAAGCAAAAACTGGGTAGGCGTTCCTTATTCTCACATACCCCCCAAAAGGGGGAGAAGGTATTTTTGAGGTTTATGGGGTACATCAACCACCAACAAGCCTTTCCTGAGCCATAATTATATGCAGATCCCAATACTAGTCCCAGTAGAGACATCTAGATCAGAAAACAGGGGAAGACAATTATATTGATGACTTTACATCAGTAACAATTACAGACAGAAAATGGGAAGGATGCCACATCGCTTCTGTCTGACAATATGGAAGCTTTGGGTACAGAGAGGAATGTGTATGAACTTGGAAACACAAAATCTGCTTGCTGTTTCAAATACCAGTTTCTCATTCCCTGGACAGTTCAGAGTGCTTCCTTCCATAAGCCCTGGTGGGCTCTGGTATGAGACTAGCTTGATGGTCCATAACCCTAGTCACCAGGGAAGAAGCTGAAGATGATCCTGTCTTTTGCTTGGAAGTGGAACATTTGGAGGGCTTGGGAGGTATACCATATAGAATAGAAGTTTAAGTTTCAGAGACTGATGGGTCTACATTTAGTATAGAACACTGACTGTAATTAGTGCTTAATGAATGAATCAATTAAAAGATAACTTTTAGAATATTTACTTAGGTATCTTTGTGTGTGTGTGTGTGTTTGTGTGTGTGTGTATGTGTGTTCTCATGAGTGCATGAATGTGTATTCGTGCATAGGAAGAACACAGGTAGAGACTGAATGGTTTCTTTAATAGGTCTCCACCTTAGGTTTTGAGACAGGATCCCTCACGGAACCTAGAACTCATTGATTCTGCTAGGCTATCTGGCCAATGAGATCCAGGGATCTGTCTGTCAACACCATGACTCTTTGGTGCTGGGATTACTGACATTCCTGGTCAGCCCAGCTTTTAGACGGATGCTGTGATCCACACTGGAGCCCTAATGCCTGGGTGGCAGGCACTTTATGGATTGAGCCGTTCCCATATCCTTGAATACAATAAACCCCTCCAACAAACCAATGTTTGATTAAAGTTTGATTAAGGTTTTCCTGGGGGGAACCAATGAATTTACTGAGCTTACTTACAGAGGTGACTGAGGGGTTGCTGAGGTGTATGAGTTTTGACACTAGAATATTAAAAGGGGATAAGCATTGCTTAGTATTCTCAGGAAAAGAATTCTCACAACAGATGGAAAACTTATTTGTTAATGTTATTATGTCTCATAATTATTTAAAAAGAAAAATGAGAATGTAAAAGATGTCAAAAGGATATGGGAATGGAGATATATTCCAAAATAGACAGAAAAACTGAGAAAGCCTAAGCAAGAGATGGAGGTCTGTGTAGGTTTGCTATGATAGATAAAGGATGAGACAAAAATAATACACACATAATCTTAAAATTTCTAAGGTTATAGTTTAGTCAACTAGTTTAAGGAATGAAATATATGTCTAATCAAGGTTTATCTGACAATGTTTGGCTTTTGTCCAAGCTTTAGCTACATAGCACATGGTAATTAAAAGTACCAGACTGGTAGAACTAACCTTCTTCGATGTTTAACAGACATACTTTGAGGCCTATACTAATTTGGTCAGAGGGACATAAAGGACAGTTTTTTCTTCTACCCCACCTAGATCAACTAGTTCCAGGGGACTAAGAGCATCTCTCAAAGTATCCTGTAATTGTCACGTGTCCTCCTGTTGAGGGAGGCCATGGAGACCCCACGAGATGGACTTGAACCAGTGTCCAGTCTA